TAACTTGAAAATAAACAAACACTTGACATAGCAAAATCAACGAAACGGCGTACATATCCTTTTGCGACGCATAAACTTGAAAAGAAATTGCCGAAGTAAAATAAACAACTCTCAAATGGTTTTATTACTCGGCGACGAAACACTTTTGGGTACTTTGAAAGATACGAACTAACAACACGGAAAAATTCTTCGTTTCATTTTTTAAAAATATATAAGGAGTTTTTAATATATTTTATTATACGAGGAGGTTTCAATATACTCAAAAGAATCAATGAAATTGAAAATGCTACAACCTGAGCACCCAGAACAAGTAGAGTTACAGTATAAACCAACTTTTCTGCACCCACATAAAACGCCGCATCCTTTTTTGCATTGGCAAAAAATAATTTTAAAAAGTTCATCGGGTGCAGGTTGTTTGTTCATGCGTACGGGTAATAACAAACCATCTTTGGAATACCATCCCCAATCTGTTGCTCTGATATTTTCATTGCCAAGCCATAGACATATGAGCAGATGTTTTATTCTGTTGTATGGGATTTCAAAATAAGAACGCTTACAATTTCGAATGTATAACGGCCCACTACCTAATATACCGGTTTTGTAGATTATTATACTCCGAAATGTACTGTACTATACTAATGGAATTTTCCAAAAAAAATTAATTGGTTTTTTTTAACGTATTTCCTTTATTTTTAACGATAGAGTGTGTCTTCAAAAAGCGATTTTGTAGAGGTTTTTAAGAGCTACAATGATCTGTGAATTAAATCTTTTTGGACCCCTTGGTTTTTAAATGGGGTGAGTTTAAAGGGCTCGAAAAAGATGATGCTTGATCGTAAATCGATGCTTTAAACAGCTATATCTCGCCAAATATTCATTGCACAACAAATCTAAATAAAGGAAAATTTTAGTCATTAAAAAAGCTACAATTTAGTACATTTATATTTTTTTCATATATTCAGTATTTTCGGGGATATTTAAAAAAAGAAGGGTAAAAAATATGAAATTGTAAATCGTTTCTCGCTTTATGCTGTACTTTTTCTAAAACTAAGCATTTTAAATAGGTCAAACTTCTTGGACGTATTAACAATACATGTACAAAGAGAATTGCAGAAGGGTGAATATCGATTTTAATTATGGGTGTGGTTAGGGGGTTGTTTTCATCGATTTTTTCGTAAAAAAATGAGGTGTTGACCTTATTTTCATCATAACTCACTCAATTTTTGAGCTAGAGGCTTTTTTATGATAGATCTATTTATGCTCTTTAAAAAAGGTTCTGTGAGTTTTCTTCCAAATATGCATCATTTTCACGATATTTGACTTTGTATCCTTCAAATTTGGCATTTGAAGAAAACCGCTGAACATTGATAGGCCGTATTTCGGTTCCTGTTATATCGAAAAAACATTTTAAAAAATGAATTGTATTTGTTCTTTTAAAAGCTACAAATTTGTTCTCTACAATTTTTTTGATAACATGCACCATTTTCGAGTTATTCGCGAAAAATCCATTAAAAACGTCGATTTTTTCGTCTAAAAGTTGTTACTTTCAATCGCGAATAACTTGAAAAATATCAGTTTTACAAAAAAAATGTATAGAAAATTTTTTGTTTAGAATCACATTTTTAATCGAAACCTGTAGTTAAAACGTAAAAAAAAAATTTCATCCCGAGAGGGGTTGGCAATTACTTCCAAGGTTTTGGCGCACTTTGGTTCGATATAGATTTTGATCCTTGGCTATTACCTACCTTGTGTTTCGTCAAGTCATCCACGCAGGACGAAAAAATTGCGAGGGGAAAGGCTTCATGCACTGGACTATAAGTGGTTTGACAGCATAATAAAATCGTAGATTTATGTGTAGCTTTTAATTTTTATGATTTCAGAATCTAGCAGCCCGCTGAAGTAGGATTTTTATAATATAATTATTTGACAACCTTTTGTTGGTCAACCACCTACAGCAGAATTGAGCCGAAATACATAATATTTCGTATGTTCCGAATTTATTTCGTTCAATCTGTATATATATATATATATATATATATATATATATATATATATACATATATATCTATATATCTATATATATATATATATATATATATATATATATATATATATATATATATATGTATCTATATATATATATATATGTATCTATATATATATATATATATATATATATATATATATATATATAATATATATATATATATATATATATAAGAGTAAGAAAAAAGAAGTACTTGTGACTCGTTTGGAAAAAATATAAAACTGTTTTGGGTGGGTTGGAGTCAATAAAAGATGCTATTTGATTACATTTTAAAACACTCATCAACTTTGTTTTTGATTCTAATATTTTTATATTTAATGGTGTCTTTTATAAACAAATTTTTGGTAGCCCTATGGGATCTAGTCTTTCACCCATTCTAAGTAGCTATGTCATGGATGATGTTATTAGTGATTGTATCAATAATTGCACTTTTTTCATTCCATTTATCAAAAGATATGTAGATGATCTAGTTTTGGCACTTCCTAAACACAAAATTCTTTCCTAAAAAGTCAACATTGTCAACAATCATAATCAACATATACAATTTACAGTTGAGGTAGAGGTAGATAATTCTCTACCATTCCTTGACATGAGAATTGTAAGAAATACAGACAATATGTTGAAAACCAGATGGTTCAGAAAACCCATATGTAGTAATAGATTTATAAGCTATTACTCTCATCATCCAAATAAGCTGAAAATGAACCTTATAACAGGATTAAAGGAACGTGTTTTAAAACTTTCTCATCCAGACTATCTACAAGAAGATCTCCAATTGTTAAAAAATATTTTAATTGAAAACTCTTATCCTCCAGATATGCTACATATGATGCTTTTTTCTAATTTATTTAATATAAATAACTTAACACCATTTTTTGCTAAATCTCAGAACATTGTATCCAACAATCAGAACATCTATTATCATTCACTACCTTTTATACCATCATTAACTCCTAAATTAACACAAACACTAAAGGTTATTGACAATATAAAAATAGCAACAAAGAACATCAAAACCATTTCATCTTTATATTCCAAAACTAAGTATCCTATAGACAAATTAGATCAAACAAATGTAGTATACAGCATTAGTTGTACTCAGTGTGAAGCAGAGTATGTTCGTGAGACTGGAAGAAATCTTTCAAATCGCATCATTTCTCACAAAAGTGATTGCAGAATTAAGAAACCATCTTGTGCTTTGGCAGAACATGTAATAGACAAAGACCATATTATGGATTTTGATAATATTAAAATTTTATGTAGTGAAAGTAATAAATTTAAAAGAACTTTTTTGGAAATGGTTTGTATTAGCAAAAGTGATAATAATTTAAACCAAAGGTCAGAAATTCAAAATCTAAGCAAAATTTATAATTATGTTATTTCTATGTAGGTTATATATGAAATCCGTAAAATATCACATTTTGAATTTTCCATGTATTTGTTACATTTTTTCAGGCATCTATCAATGGTGAATAAATCTTCTTCTTTTTTGTTACTAAACAAAAATGAATTTTTAAACAAAATTTTTATAAACAAATTTTTTTTTTGACTATATGTCAAAAATAAAAATTTTTAAGTTGGTATTTATGACATTGAGGCTTATTATTGCAACTATTCAATTTTTGTTTACAAATTCAATTGTTTTTGTTAAGAAACTTTTTCAAAATTTATTTCAGAGTAACATTTATTAGAATAGGACATTTTTATATTAATATTTTTTGTAATATTTTGTTAGCAGCAGTTTTATAAACAAAACTAATTTTATTTTGTGAGTTAACAAAAAATTTTATTTCTAGTTTAACTTTGTAAGATATTTTGTATTTTTTAGAAGCTCTTGATAATAATTGTAATCACAATTAAAAGCTCGAGTAAAAAATAGTCAACAAATAGCCCCTTTTATTCACTCCAACCCATCCAAAACAGTTATATATATATATATATATATATATTATATATATATATATATATATATATATAATAATAATAATTACCTGCACATGCATTGTAGCATATATGTTTCTTTATAGGTATTATGGCGGCACCACACTTCACTGTGTGTTATTTGTGTGGCTTTGTTATATTCGGCCAAATATTTTTTATTTGTCAGCGAATAACAAATGCGATACTCCATACTTGTGCCGGTGGACCAAACATGTCAAATATTTGCGTCATGCGTGTTTGGCAGAACCCTAATAGACGTGGACGTATTGGCAGTCGCTGAAACTTGTTTTTACTTAAATGCATTTTACCTATACCTGTGTCATGTCATCAAGACTGCATCTAGTGTAAATTAAGAAATCTCATTTCCATTTCATTTGTACACTCCATTTTACAATAGATACACCACAAATCAAAGCGTAATAGGTACGGTAGTTGTATATAAACATGTAAATTTGTCGAATTAACGCCGAGAATTAAAATAAAGTTAGGATAAGATAAACAAGGCAACCACCGACCGGTGCGAGCAAAGTGTGGCAGTCGACACATACATTCGGCATGAATTCGGCTTATTCGTGTCCTTTACACTGTTTCAAAAAATCGACAAGAGGACTGATAGGCCTATTTGCTATTCGATCATTTGCTTATGCGTGCATATAAAGCAAATAATTGACAATTGTACCCTCTACACTTCATCGTAACGGCCGAATATGGCACATAACGAATAATAACACATAGCGAAGTGTGGTGTCACCATAAGGATATTTAAAGATTCTAAAGTTTTAAATATTTTATATGTACAAAAAATCTTTATCACTTTTGCAACACATTGCTTGAATCCAAAAGATAAGTAGCAAGCACAATAGTATATTTTAGAAGCAAAATGCACAAATTATAATAAATTTATATAAAACATAAATGAGTTTTAAATACCTCAATGAATTGAAACATTACAAATAGAACAGGGCTGTTTTCATAATCTAGTAAATATTTTTATCTAAGCACTTCGCTTTTTCAGGAAATGAATTAAACCATTACCAAAATGTTACAATTGCTAATAATGGCATTGTTCCTTTTCGATGCAATTTCTTCTCAAGATACTGAATTTCTAGTATGTGCTAATTCAGCAAGATCTATTGCACTTATACCTGAATATGATGGTCCTATTGAATCCTATCAGAAGTGCAAGACAACTGATTATTGTTATACATTTTGGTTAGAGGATCCAAATAATGGCAGTATTGTAGTTATGGGGCAAGGTATTTATATTTTCACAATAATTTAAAGAAAATAATCAATTATGCATGCGTATAAAATTTGTTTAATTATTTTAACAACTATTTTAGCATCACCATGACTTTGCTTTTGTAAATTCCTTGTTTAGATTTAAGTATATGGCGTAAACACTGGCATTCGAAGCTACTTATTATGTGATGGTTTATTTTATAATCATGACATTATGCCTGTTGTCATTTAATGCAGATTACAAAATATTCTACAAGGAATTAACTTTATTTTAAAATGTTGTTGACCAGCTCTTTTCTTTCTTATTAGAGAAACAATACTTTCAGTAGTACTTAAGTTGCTGCGTTCTGCACATACGATGGCCTCAATATAACAATTGGGATCATCAGAAAGGGAGAGACGATATTCTGTTCAATCCAGAACTCGCTGGTTTCCCTCTTTCGCATTGGGTATGTATATTGAAATAAACAAAGAAATGAAAGCCAGCGGACTATATAAAACTCTATTTTAAAAAGAAGTGACGTTAAACATAAATGTACATAACCAAATATACCATTATAAATAAAGAAGAATATACAAACTTAAATATTAGGCAATATCAAATGACACCAAAAAGACAACCAAGATAAGAATAGAAAACTGTGGTAAAATGAACAAATCTTGTTGATAAAAGTTACACAAAATGCAACCAGACATATTATATATGAATTATATTAAACGTAAATACAAATATTAATAAACTCAATTGAAAGTATAATCGGTAATGAAATACAGATTAAATTAATAATTAAATTAATATATTTAATAAACTCATCACGTAAAAGCTGTAATATACATACAAAAAAGAATAGTGAAATTATTATAATTTAATAAATATACAAAAGTACGATAAAGGTTACGTTTAACCAAACGTAAAATGTTCTCAAACGGTTAAAATGTTCAACCCGCGATACAATGTCAAATATAGCACAAACAATTTCAACTTGCCAAATAATTAAATAATAATGTATCTATTCTACACAGTAAACGTACGTGTTGTAATGGTTTATATAAGTTGTACTTTACCCCGTGAAAAGATAGCACCCCGGCTATCGCAAAAGATGTCTTAACCGGCTAACAGGAACCACCAAGTTGATCATGGACATTCTACCCCAACTGCATTTGACTTGACGACTCTCTCGGTCCCCAGACAGATACGAAGTGTCAGGTGCTCTTAACCCAAACGCACATACATATCTGTGCGAAATAAAGAGACAAAAAGAGATATAAAACTCAACTCTTATTTTAACTTCAAAAAATACATCTTTCTTAAATGGCATATGGAATTGTCCCTTGTTATCTCGCAGATGGCCAGCCTTGCAAATGTTTTCCTCACCCGATGAGTGGAGAGAACATTAAAAATTTTTGTTTGTTATAAATAGGGTAACAAATATTTTCGAAAATTTAAAAGAATATAAAAGAATTTTTAATATACTGTGCCCACCTTTGGTCTTATATAATATATATATATATATATATATATATATATATATATATATATAATATATATATATATATATATATATATATATATATATATATATATATATATATGAGGAATTCTACAAAAATTCGCACCTTAACTGGAGCCCAATATGGTGATATTGCAATTTGCTGCCCGTACCCCGCAGTAACAATTTTTTTCTGTAGGTTGATACCAAAAAACCTGTTTTCAGGTGCGAGCCTAAAAAAAGGCAAATTTAAGTTTTTTCCAACAAAAAACTGATTTGTTCGCTAAAGCTATTTCATTCTTCTAGTGATCTGCCTCGAAAAACGAGTGAAAGAGACTTCTATACTTGGAGCACACATACATATTAGGTACCAATCGCTTCGTCTTGGTCCCCGAGCCTTTGAAGAACCAAAAAAAAGCTCAAAGCGTGGCAAACGGTTATTCAGTCCCTAAAATCGACGTTTTTTTCATTTTTTCGCGATTTTACCGGAAAATCAAGTTAAAATGACTTCCGTAAGTGAGGTTCATCTACCTATCGGAAGCTGGTGACTTTATCCTCAGTATGTAGCCTGATCCGTCATCAAATTATAGATAGTAAATTGTAATATAGCTGAAAACCTTCACAGATTAATTTATCGTGATTTAAGTAAGAAAATACGATTCAATTTTTTTTCTTCTTTTTGTTATAACAAACTTTTTTTGTTAGTATGAGTATTAGAACTAGATAAAAGTTAGTCAAGTAACAAAAAATAAATACATAGAATACAATACATCAAAAATATTCTAAATTTTTTACTATTTATAGATACTATTTAACAATGGTATAGATATATTTATTTTTCATTAATTAAACACTATAAAATAGAACTTGGCATACAATATTAAATAATCTTGTGTTTAACAGAAACAATACATATTAAAGCTCGAATAATATGAAATAAACAAAATTTTAGTACTGTTTTTGATTCAAAAAGAAATTATATTAATTATATAAATTATAACAAATATATCATATAATTATATTATTTTTTACATTATTTTCAAAAGTCATTTTAACTTGATTTTCCGGTAAAATCACGAAAAAATGAAAAAAAAAAAAAAACGTCGATTTTAGGGACTGAATAACCGCTTGCCACGCTTTGAGCAGGTGTTTCTTGGTTCTTCAAAGGGTCAGAGTTCCTTCTGGGGACCACGACGAAGCGATTAGTACCTGATATGTACGTGTGCTCCAACTGTACAGGTCTCTTTTAATCTATTTTTGAATAAAATCGCGAAAAAATGAAAAAAAAAACGTCGATTTTAGTGACTGAATAACCGCTTGCCACGCTTTGAGCAGGTGTTTCTTGGTTCTTCAAAGGGTCAGAGTTCCTTCTGGGACCAAGACGAAGCGATTGGTACCTGACATGTACGTGTGCTCCAACTATAGAGGTATCTTTTAATCTATTTTCGGGTAAAATCGCGAAAAAATGAAAAAAAAAACACGTCGATTTTAGGGACTGAATAACCGATTGCCACGCTTTGAGCAGGTGTTTCTTGGTTCTTCAAAGGGTCAGAATTGATTCTGAGGATCAAGACGAAGTGATTGGTACCTAATATGTACGTGTGCTCCAACTATACAGGTCTCTTTTAATCTATTTTTGAATAAAATCGCGAAAAAAATGAAAAAAAAACGTCGATTTTAGGGACTGACTACCCGCTTGCCACGCTTTGAGCAGGTGTTTCTTGGTTCTTCAAAGGGTCAGAGTTCCTTCTGGGACCAAGACGAAGCGATTGGTACCTGATATGTACGTGTGCTCCAACTATAGAGGTATCTTTTAATCTATTTTCGGGTAAAATCGCGAAAAAATGAAAAAAAACGTCGATTTTAGTGACTGAATAACCGCTTGCCACGCTTTGAGCAGGTGTTTCTTGGTTCTTCAAAGGATCAGAGTTCCTTCTGGGACCAAGACGAAGCGATTGGTACCTGATATGTACGTGTGCTCCAACTATAGAGGTATCTTTTAATCTATTTTCGGGTAAAATCGCGAAAAAATGAAAAAAAAAAACGTCGATTTTAGGGACTGAATAACCGCTTGCCACGCTTTGAGCAGGTGTTTCTTGGTTCTTCAAAGGGTCAGAATTCATTCTGAGGATCAAGACGAAGCGATTGGTACCTAATATGTACGTGTGCTCCAACTATATAGGTCTCTTTTAATTTATTTTTGGATAAAATCGCGAAAAAATGAAAAAAAACGTCGATTTTAGGGACTGAATACCGCTTGCCACGCTTTGAGCAGGTGTTTCTTGGTTCTTCAAAGGGTCAGAGTTCCTTCTGGGTACCAAGACGAAGCGATTGGTATCTAATATGTACGTGTGCTCGAACTATACAGGTCTCTTTTAATCTATTTTTGAATAAAATCGCGAAAAAATGAAAAAAAAAAAACGTCGATTTTAGGGACTGAATAACCGCTTGCCACGCTTTGAGCAGGTGTTTCTTGGCTCTTCAAAGGGTCAGAGTTCCTTCTGGGAATAAGACGAAGCGATTGGTACCTGATATGTACGTGTGCTCCAACTATAGAGGTATCTTTTAATCTATTTTCTGGTAAAATCGCGAAAAAATAAAAAAAAAACGTCGATTTTAGTGACTCAATAACCGCTTGCCACGCTTTAAGCAGGTGTTTCTTGGCTCTTCAAAGGGCCAGAGTTCCTTCTGTGGACCAAGTCGAAGCAATTGGTACCTGATATGTACGTGTGCTCCAACTATAGAGGTATCTTTTAATCTATTTTCGGGTAAAATCGCGAAAAAATGAAAAAAAAAAAAAAACATCGATTTTAGGGACTGAATAACCGATTGCCACGCTTTGAGCAGGTGTTTCTAGGTTCTTCAAAAGGTCAGAGTTCCTTCTGGGGACCAAGACGAAGCGATTGGTACCTGATATGTACGTGTGCTCCAACTGTACAGGTCTCTTTTAATCTATTTTTGAATAAAATCGCGAAAAAATGAAAAAAAAAAAAAACGTCGATTTTAGGGACTGAATACCCGCTTGCCACGCTTTGAGCAGGTGTTTCTTGGTTCTTCAAAAGGTCAGAGTTCCTTTTGGGGACCAAGACGAAGCGATTGGTACCTGATATGTACGTGTGCTCGAACTATACAGGTCTCTTTTAATCTATTTTTGAATAAAATCGCGAAAAAATGAAAAAAAACGTCGATTTTAGTGACTGAATAACCGCTTGCCACGCTTTGAGCAGGTGTTTCTTGGCTCTTCAAAGGGTCAGAGTTCCTTCTGGGACCAAGACGAAGCGATTGGTACCTGACATGTACGTGTGCTCCAACTATAGAGGTATCTTTTAATCTATTTTCGGGTAAAATCGCGAAAAAATGAAAAAAAAAAACGTCGATTTTAGGGACTGAATAACCGATTGCCACGCTTTGAGCAGGTGTTTCTTGGTTCTTCAAAGGGTCAGAATTGATTCTGAGGATCAAGACGAAGTGATTGGTACCTAATATGTACGTGTGCTCCAACTATATAGGTCTCTTTTAATTTA